AAATAAATAAAACCTTTAAAAAAAAAAAAAAAGATTGACCTTGATTCAGATTCACACTTGGGCAAAGATGAGGATGGCCGCCCTGCTGGGAATCAGGGTGTTCACTGTGGGGTGTTCGCTGTGGTACACTCTCTCAGTGCTTAGAGCAGCTCTATGAAATAGTCCCCCTTTCTGCTGAAGAGAGAGGTCAGGCTCCAGAAGGTCCTGTGGTAACACAGAGATTGAAAACCCAGCCATTTTGTCTTGCCCTTTGTTGGTTCTTACACACCACGCTGCTGCTCGGTGGCCAGTGGTACATGCAGTAACTCACGTTTGCAGGGCACTTCCTGCAGCCCCAGAGAGTCCAGTAACATGGGGCCGCTGCCTCCAGCCCTGCTTCCAGCACTCCTGGCCACACGTCTCTTTCAGCTCCGGGAGGGCGGGACAAGGCAAGCCTTCCTGGCTCAGGTGCTTGTCTGTGCTTTGTCACTGTCACTTGGCCCCAGGGCCCTGTCCCTTCTCCCAGGTCTCAGCTCTTGGGGCTTCCCTTGCCTCCCAGTCACATCAGACATTGGCCTTCTTTCTGTCTCAGCCAGTGGTCACTGCTCAGGAGACAGGGAAGGGAGACCCCGCCCAGCGCCTCGTCCCGTCCTGGCCCAGTACCCGCGCTCCCCACGTGTTAATTAAGGTCACGTAGCTACTGTAACAAAGAACAGCAGCATTTCGGTGGCTTGCCACAGTGGGGGGCTGTTCTTGTTTCTGTGCTCATGCGGGAGGGTGTTCCTGGTCCCTGCTGGCTCTTCTGCATGTGGAGATTCAAGACCAGGCCTCTCTTCTTCCTGGGGCTCAGCTGTCCGGGGCATTAGCACCCTGGCCTTGCTGGTTGAGGAGGACAGGGAAGGTAGAAGAGGCTTTGTTGCCTTGGACTGAAAGTGACCTATATCCCCTTTGCTTGCGTTTCTTTGGTGTACCTCTTAGTAGCCCCCACCCCATACAGGGGCTCGTTCACCCTGGTGGGTGACTGCTTCCCAGCAAGAGCCTGTTGGGCAGGACAGACCCTGGGGGCAGAGCCGTAGGGATGACAGCCAGGAGGTTCCAGGTGATGGACAGCAGAGGCAGCCGTCACGGCAGGATCAGCAGTGCCGTCAGCCTTCTGCCAAGGGCACCAGGTGGGCCAGGGGGCTTTCTAGAGCTCCACCAGTGTGTGTGAGTCCCCACCACTCCCATGCTCTGCCCTTTCTCCATTGAGTATTCTTGGTCCTGGTTTCGATGCTTGATCTCTGTTCTTTCTCTCCCTCTGTCTCTCTCTCTGACTCTACCCTCTGCCTTTCTCCCTTTCTCTGTCCCCCTTCTCTCGCTCAGTAGGGTTGTCCCCTTTGTGACCTGCCCCTGGTTATTGCTGCAGAGACGACTCGACATTGTCTACAGAGTCTGGGTCACTCCACTGACATGGCTGCCTTGGGCTCTTATGTCCATTCTCCTTCTAGTGTGTGACTTGGTGTCTTGCCCACACCTGATGATTGAACTCGTCACCTGGCATAGCTGCTTGATTCTGGCTTTTTCTTGCCAACATGCTCCGCACCATCGTGGGAGATGTTCAAACCCCAGCATCACTATGGACTCCTCCCTGCCCCAGTGAACCGTCTGACTTCTCTGCTCATGGCCCCTCTGGAGGCCATGCGACCTTTCCTAGCAGCCCTCTGGCAGCAGCCCCGGTTGGTGGTCCTTTGCTCTGCCCAGTGCCGTACTGAGCCCTTCACTCAGGTTTTACTCTGTGATCCTGTTGCAGCCCTGTGAGCAGCTACTGCTCTTAATTCCGTTTTGCAATGAGAAAACTAAGACCCCAGGTAATGTATAGCGAGGACCGAGTAAATGGTAGAGTCACAGCTCCGACCATGGCTTGCTGTCCTCTGTTGAGTAAAACCCCATATCCGTAGTCTGTCATTCCCTCTTCTCTGTGCCCGGGCTCCCCATTCCTCCACAGCAGCACCTGCCTCTTCCCTTGGGGCCATTGGCCCCACAGGGAGCCCACACAGTAATGCAGGGCACAGAGGACTGGGCCCAGCTCATGCCCTCTTCCTCCGGACACTTGCTGTGGCCCACGAGGAGGTGTTTGTTGTGGCAGGAGTAGGGCGTGGTGAGGGTCCTGCCCCACCTGCCAGAGCAGACTCGGTCCCCCGGCCCGGCCCTGTGGAGGCCTCGCCGTCCCAGGGGCGCCGAGTGCAGGCCACCTGCTCCTCCGCGGAGCTCCTGGACAGCTTGCTCCCGGCAGTGGGGAGAAGGCCCGGGAGAGTAAGAATGTTAGCATCTGGGCTCTGAACGTGTGGCTCTGGGAAGGAGCTGAGGGTGTGTCTTTTTGTGGAAGATCTTCCTGCGGCCACAACGAGCAGCCCGACGTTTGCCTCTCAGTTGTACTTTTGGTTGGTTTCTAGGAATGTTCCGGAGAATCACGGCGGCTGCCTCGAGACTCTTCGCGGCGGACTATGCCGACGGCACTTTCTATGACCTGGAGAGGCTGAATGCGCGCGTGCGCACCATGCTGCCCACGCACCCAGCGCTCGTGCTGCTCTGGTGCCAGATCCTGCTGCTCGTCAGCCACACCGACTACCGCTGGTGGGCAGAGGTGCAGCAGACCCCCAGGTATGTCCGCCCGGCACCCCAGGCGGCCTGCTCCCGTGCGCTGGGGCGCGGGGCCGCTCAAGGTTTGGCCCTGTTTCCGTGAGGCCTTGTGTGGATTGTGCTGCCGGCGAGCCTTCCTCTCGTGGACGCTGTGCTGCAGGGAAAATGTGCTCAGACCGAAGGCGTTCAGAGTAGCCGCTGCTTTCCAAGTGCGGTTTCTTTGACACGGTTCCTCTTGAGGGTCATTCTTGTCATGCTGTGTCCCTCCTGCTAGGCTCTCGTCCTTAAATTGCTTCCAGAGCCAGACATGTTGCAATGTCTTAACTTCATTATAAGTTAAATGTGGTTCTGGTTATTCTTAGATAATGAAGTAATTACTGAGCAACATTTCAAAACTGCTTGGAAATACCCTATTTTTTGTCATTCACAAAGACTTATTAAGTATCTGGGGGTGACCCCCTTTTTGCAAAAAAGTTTTCAGGGTTAAGCCTTGATTTCTGGGCACTGTCCTGCTCAGACATTTGCACACATGTGGGAATAGAAGCTTTGCCGCCCCTCTGCCGAGCTGAGTCCTCAGTGCAGAGTTTCTGGAAGGCTCAAGGGCCCATGGTGAGGAGAGAAAGCAAGGGCTGCAGGGCAGAGGTCAGCTCCTCTCTGCTCAGTGTGGAAAGGCTGAGCTGTGTGAGGCCTGGGGTCCTAGTTGGGCCACTCCATTGCATTCAGCTGGAAAATCCAGTGTCAGTAGGCACCTTTCAATGTCTGTTCTGCGCTATATGCCATGGGATATGCAAAGAAAAATAATATGCATTTTCTGCCCTCCACATGGTTATATTTAGTCGGGACAGACCGGTGAAAACATTGGAAATGCTTCAAGAACATGACTTGCTGTAAGAGTCGGGAACAGAAAATGATTGTCTGCTTCAGTGCTTCTTTGGTGTACATATAAATCCACCGGCAAGCTTATTAAAATCAGGTTCTTGTCCAGCAGATCACTGGGGAAGCCTGGGACTCTGCTTTTCTTCCAGGCTCCTGGGTGGTGCCGATGCTCTCGTCCACGAACACACTCCAGGCCAGGCCCTGAGTCCTTGAGGAGTGTGCCTCAGAGCCACCAGGGAGCTTGTTCCAGGGACCAGGACTGTGACCCAACCCACCACCAGACCTGGCAGCTGGGTACCTTAGGAATTAGGATCCTGGGCTCTCGTGTTCTCAGAGTCTCCCTGGGAAACTCCCATGGGCACCCAAGATTGAGTTGTGCTGGGCAAGACTTGGTGGGGTGGGGCCTGAGTTAGCTGCTGATGGTAGCAGGTATGTGTAGGTGGACAGAAGGTGAGAAATTGTCCATTACCCCAGTGGGTGTGTGAGCCAGTGAGTTTCCTCCCCTCCCTCCTCCCTTCTACCTCTCCCACCTCCTCTTCCTCCTCGTCCTCCTTTTGATGGCTGGTGGGTGGTGAGGGCAGAGGGACCTGGAGTGGGTTCAAGAGGAAGTGGGAGGGCGGACCCCAGTCTGATGATGAGGAAGCAGTCAGACACGCCCAAACGGAAGGGCCTTCCACAGATCTGGGGGATAAAACATCCAGAAAGAACACTATTGAGATAATGGAGGGAATTTGAATGTGAGTTCTAGGGGACCTGTTGTTTTGTGGTGATGAGTTCTCAGGGGACCCCTGCTGAACTACTTAGGGGCAAGTGTCTTCACCCGCGAGTACTCTCAGGTGGTACAGGCCAAAAAGTGTGCGTGCGTAGAGTGCATATGTGTGTATGTGCAGAGTGTGTCTTTGTGTGTAGAGCATATGCGTACGTGTGTGCACGTGTGAGTGTGCGTGTGTGTGCACACAAGGTGGCAGCGTATTAGTGGTTGACTCTAGGTGAAGAGGGTTTGTTCATTGAATTAATCTTTCAGCTTTTCTATTGGTTTGAAAGTTTTCAAAGTAAAAGTTAAGGAAAAAAGATCACGGAAGTAGGGGCATTTTGGACCACGGAGCTCTGGACAATTCACAGGAGGAGGTGTGCTCCAGAGGGGAGGAGATGTGGGAAGTGGGGTCACGAGTTCCTCACCAACACTCGATGTCACGGGAGCTTTCCCTTCTTGCCCTCGTGGTGGATGCAGGGCACTGCTTCTTGTGGTTTTCACTTGCATTTCGCTGATTCACTGATAACATGGTAATATAAAGGTAATCATGTTTTCATGTGCTTATTGGCCATTTGTGTATTTTCTGTTATAAAGTATGTATTCAGTATTCGCCGGTTTTTTGAAATTTGGCTCTTATCTTGTTACTGAGTTGTAAATTTTTTATATATTCTGAATCTAAGTAAATGTTTTCTCTCCCCTCTTTGGTTTGCCATCTTATTTTTTTAATGGTTTCTTTGGAAGAGCAGAATTTTTAAATTTTTATGAAATCAAGCGTGTCATTTTTTCTGTTTCATTCTCTCTCTCTTCAATCCAAGAAACGTTTGCCTACCCCAGGATCATGATTTTCTTCTATGGTTTCTTCTGGAACTTGCGTAGCTTTAGTGTTTACCATTCCGAGTTAATTTTTGTGTATGACAAAGCGTGAGGGTGAAGAGTCATCTCCCCACCCCCCCCCCCAAAGGGCGGTTCTTTCGGTGTATTTTGTGAAAAAGACCGTGCTTTCTCTCTTGAGTTCCCTTGGCACTTTTCTCGGAGCACAGCGTGGCTCAGACGTGCGGACCTTGGGGGCTCTGCTCACGCCCCCGATCGGCGTCACCGCCACCACCACGTCATCACCCCGGCTGCCGTGCCCGTTCCCCCGCTCTTCTTTACTTCCAGAATAGTTTTGGCTCCTGTAGGTTCTTTGTATGTCCACGTTTATGTTTTAGAATCAGGTTGCGTCTACAAACGAGCCCGCTGGCCTCTTGACTGAGCTTGCCACTGGTCCGGGATTGAGGGAGCACTGGCGTCCAGCGTCTGGTCTTTCAGTCTTCGAACATAGTCTCTCTCTGGGTATTTCGGTCTCTCATTTGCCACAACAGTATCTCATAGGGTGTCGTGTGCAAGCATTATTCGTATCTTACACATTTCATGTTTTGGAATGCTGTTTTAAACGGTACGTGGAAAAGTGTTTTGTTTCCCATGGTGTGCTGCTGGTTTATAGACGTGCATTTGGTTTTGTGTACTGACCTCACATCCTGAGACCCGGCCCAGCTCATGCAGCATCCCCAGGAGGCTTTTGTGGGCTCTGGAGGGTTCTCTGTGAACACATGCCTATCATCCACAGGTCAAGACTTTTCCCTTCTTCCTTCCCCACCCGTATTCCTCTTGTTCTCTTCTCTCCCTCAGGACATTGACCAGGCCCTCCAGACAGGGCTGGCCTCCATTTTTCTTTATTTGTAGAGTCAGTAGATAGATGCAGCTCTGCACGACGGTGACCTCCCCAGCTTGCACAGGCAGGCTCTCGGGCAAGCAGAGAAGCTGTACTCTGGCCGCACGGCCCCAGGAAGCACCCGCGGCTGCCACAGCAGGGTCTGCTCCTGTCTGCTGCTTGTTTGGGGAGCTCTGTTTTCATTGATTGTTTCCAGTCTGTCTGGCCTTCCGGTGGCCTCTTTCGGTCTTGCACGTGCCATGGCACTGGGGCTGTGGTGTGGCCACGCGTCAGTTCTGAGGCCTGGATTTGGGGCGTTTGTTCACCATCAGTATCTAGCCGCATCTGTCCTGAGGTCTCCGGGGCCTGCCCCCTACAAGCTGGGGCTCAGTTTGGATTGACGTGGGTTGACATTCAAATCCTGCCGCTGGATTTGGATTGCAAGTTCTGCCCCCTCTCCTGCAGAGGCTCCCTTGTAGCGCGTACCATTGTGAAATGTGGGGCTGGCCGGAGGGCTGAGGAGAGGAGGTGTTTCTGTTGGTTGGTTTTTCATTGACCTATGACTTACACTACAGGGAAACACACTCTTTTGTACCAAATATTGTCAGGTGAACAATGCCACAGTCACAATTCAGGAGGGTTCCATGACTTCGGAAGGTCCCCTGTGTCCTCTGTGGCCACCCCCTCCCCCAGCCACCGGTCCATGCTCCGTCCCTGTGTTCAGCCCGTTGCAAAATACGCCCTATGGATGAGTCATACGGGTCTGTAGCCTTTTGAGTCTGGCTTCGTCAGTTAGCGCAGGATATTTAAAGCTCATTTATGGCCTTGCACGGATCAGTGGTTTGTTCTTCGGACTGGCGAGTAGTATTCTGTCATACGGATAACAACGCGGGTGCGTCCACTCACCAGGTGAGAAAAGGGACATTGCAGTTGGAACATTTTTTTTAATCTGTAGACTATTTTATACCAGTTGCTCTTGTAAATCCCAAGGTGTTGTAGGAAAAGTTGAGACATTTCAGAATATTCTTGTCTTCTTGTGACCTCTGTCCCCAGTAAGCCTTAGCAGAGATGCACAGGCTCTTTGTTTCCGAGGGACGGGTATTGTCCTCAGACTCTTCCGTCAGCGGCTGTTCACAGGTGTGGCGACACCTGTCAGAGGACTTAGGACCGCTTCGAGGGTCCCCGAGGGTGTAACCCGTCGACTGAGAAGTGAAGTAACCTTCACGAGCGGGGAATGAGTTTTGCGGCCGTACTTTCAGACAGGGCTTGCGTGGCGGCACGTACCAGTGGGCAGGTGAGGGTGGCAACATTTCCCCAGTAATGGTGCAGTGAAATCCGACTGCGTACAAGCTTTCTCCCGGCGGTGGGCAGCGTTCTGCAGACCCACACTGGGAATCCTGAACGCAGTTGCTGTGTTTTCCAGCGCAGTTGGTGAGAGCCCGGTGCCTGAGTGCCGATCAAAGGTGCGGCTTCATGGCAGGTTCTGCCTTAAGTCAAGCATTTGACTGTTTGCCGGTGAGATCTCTGTGTTCTTTTGATGTCCATACGTGCTTTGCCCCGGCTCAGAAGTAGGTCGCTGAGAGTGTGCATCACATCCTATCGCCGCAGTGCAGTCCGTCTGCTCTAGCCCTGGAACTGAGCTTCTGGTCGTCTTCAGCTTTGAAGATAAGCTCGCTCTTGTCCTGGAAACGTTGTCAGTGCGTCTCTTGCTCCCTCCAGGAGACGCAGTCTGTCCAGTACGAAGTCACTCAGCCCCCAGATGCCTGGAGAGGAGGAGGACCCTGATGCAGCCTGCAAGCTTGGGGTGTGCAATAGAGAAATAGTGCGAAGGGGAGCGCTCATTCTCTTCTGCGATTATGTCGTAAGTCCTGGCGGGGCGGGGGCCGGAGGGCACCGGTGTGCGTGATGCTGTGCAGAGCGACCTCCCGCCGCCATCGGCACAGGGCTGTAGTGAGCGTTGCGTCCTGCTCCGGCCGGTCACGGACGTGGAGGTCTGTCTGCAGAGGGTTTCACTCAAATGTCGCCTCTTGGGCGAGTGTGACTTGGAGTGGAGTTCTGATTTAAACGCTGTTTACCATCTGTGCAGAGGGTGTTGGTGTCCACTGTTGCATTTTAAATGACTTCTTGTTGGAATGCCATCTTTAAAAAAATTACTTTTGTAGAGTTTTTGACCATAAAACTAGCATCCCACGTTTAACATAGAAAATTGACAAAAACCAATAAACAGAAGAAAATACAGTCTCCTTGTAATTGCATTACTCAGAAAACCTGTTGTGGCATTTTGGCTGCGATTTGGTGCTTTTTCTCTACCCATAACAGCACACGTGTTTCTTTGGCACAGACATGGCACCATATTCATACTATTTTCACACAGCAAAGTGTGTGATGTTCTCAGTTGGGAAAGGAAGGGGAATCCTTCAAGCAAGGTTGTTATCATACAGATTTTATGTTGCTATTTTTTATTGATACTCATTTTTTGATTTCCATTCTTTATGTTGAAATAGTTTTTCTATCTTGTTCTACTTCTGAGAAATGATTTAGTATAATTGTATAATGCTGTCTTTCACAGAAATGTAAGAAAAATATTAATTTTATAAGTTAGTACTATCAAATTATTCCACATGGAAAATATTACTCATTAACCAGATGTCAAAGAATTGATTTCATTTTACAATTTCTGCCTAGAAGGATTTGAGTTAAGATGAAAAGGCAACACACATATTCAAAGATGGATATTTCTTTCCTTATAAATCTTAAAATTTCTCTCTTTAATATCCATTTGATCAGTGGAATCTATTCATATTTTGGATTCAGGAATTCTGTCAAAACTGTGGCAGTTACAGGGAGCCCATTTTCTCCACTGACCTGTCACAGGACTGGGGAAGGAGAACTGGGGAGCACTCTCGTTAGGCCAGACCAAAGCCTAGACAGAGCAGGGTCTGCTGTGTGTCATCTGCTCTCGCTTCACGGCAGGGGGGTCCCATCACCTGAGGGCAGGGCGGTGCTGCCCCTGCCATTCCGCTGCCCTGGGGTCACTGGTCCTTGGCAGGCACCCTGGGCCTTGCTCTGCTCCTCCTCTGGCCCTTGGCCAGGGTCCCTGGGAGCTGGGCTGGAGCATCACATTTCCCTGGCGGGCGGGGTCTGTCCTCCAGCAGCTTTGGCTACAGTGTAGGGTTGAAGGTGACGGATCCTGTGAAGTGAGTTCTGACCCTGATGATTATTGGTGGTCAAACACTAGATAGTTTCAGTTAGGATTATAATTTGGAATTTGTCTTCCCCTTCCTACTTCTGGCCTTTTCTATGGCATCCATGTCTGTTCTGTCCTTGTCGACTTGAGAATGAGTCTGTCACTCTTTCTCCTCAGTGTCAGAACCTACACGATTCAGAGCACCTAACATGGCTCATTGTGAATCACATCCAGGACCTGATCAATCTATCCCACGAGCCCCCCGTGCAGGATTTTATCAGTGCTGTTCATCGGAACTCCGCTGCCAGTGGCCTCTTCATCCAGGCGATTCAGTCTCGTTGTGAAAACCTTTCAACCGTAAGTCTCCCTGGTGCCAACTGTGGCCAGTCAGGGTTTTTTTTCCACCTTAAAAATGTACTATCGGAATTGGTAAACTGCTAACTTCCAGTTGGCCAAACTTGTGCTCTAGTTGCTTTCCTTCTGCCCATCGCCAGCCTACCACCCTGAAGAAGACGCTTCAGTGCTTAGAAGGGATCCACCTCAGCCAGTCGGGCGCTGTGTTAATACTGTATGTGGACAAGCTTTTGTGCACTCCGTTCCGTGTGCTGGCTCGCATGGTCGACACTCTAGCCTGTCGCCGGGTGGAAATGCTTCTGGCTGCAAATTTACAGGTACTAGAAAAATACTGACGCTAATTTTTACTGAGAACTTAGCAGGGCAGGCGAAACAGTTGCCTGGTTTTTTCCTCCACAGGCATATTCTTCACACGCCACTGCGAGAAACATGTATAAGATGTATGAGTTGGTCATTCCTTGTGTGCCTGATATGAGCGCTTCCTGTACGTTCCTCTCTGCCTTTGCTACAATAAAGTGTACATGTCACTCTTTCCCTCCTAAACGAGCGCAAGGTGGTTTTGATTCGTTCCATGTTACACACTTGCTGATGTGCTGTTGTCTACTTCAGAGCAGCACGGCCCAGCTGCCAGTGGAGGAGCTCAGCAGGATCCAGGAATACCTTCAGAGCAGCGGCCTGGCTCACAGGTAATGCTACGACCAGGCATTCCTTGCTTTTGGATAGACTTAGATTTGTACGGGAACGAGCTCGGGATGAGAGATTGGTGTGCTTTGTAGATGAGCTCACTGTGGAAAGGCCCTAATAGAAAGCCTTCCTAAATTAAACAAAATGTGCTCTCACTTGATAAAAAGTGAGGTGAAGTGACAGCACCACCTGTACTGTGGTAATAGGGACCTGCCTGCATCCTGTTGGCTGGTCGAGGCCCGACGTGTCCAGATTGCCCGTCCGCCCACCTGTGACGCAGGAGAATGCGAGTCATCAGCGTGATCTTAGCCAAATCAGAGCATGTACCTAGCTGCTGCATAAGAGTGAGCAAATCGGAAAGGCATTACCTAGTTCTTGGCATGCAAAAATTATAGCTGCATCTTGTTAAAATGTGATTTCTTCCTAGTATTTGTCACCTTGTTCTGCTGCATAACCTTTTAGAAGCCTTTATCAGAAATCATGACGTCTGTTGTTTCCACAAGTAAATACATTTTACCTTTAAATTTCACCTTTTTCCCTCCACATGGGGGAAGATGTGTGTGTGCGCGCGCTCGCGTCTGTGTGTGCGTGTGTGCACGAGCTCGCATCTGTGTGCGTGTGTGCGTGCACTCGTATCTGTGTTTGTGCGTGTGCTCACGTCTGTGTGTGTGCGTGTGTGCGCGAGCTCGCATCTGTGTGTGTGTTGTGTGTGCGAGCTCGCGTCTATGCACGCTCGCATCTGTGTGCGTGTGTGCGTGCACTCGTATCTGTTTGTGCGTGTGCTCACGTCTGTGTGTGGTGTGCGCGCTCGCGTCTGTGTGTGCGTGTGTGCGTGCGCTCGCATCTGTGTGTGTGTGTGTTGTGTGCGAGCTCGCGTCTGTGTGTGCGTGCGCTCGCGTCTGTGTGTGTGTACGCGCGCGTGCACATGAGAAAGAGAACAGAGTAGAATCACCGCACTGTAGCTTGTTGCTGGCGTCCTCATTTGGGAAGGCGCCTAACCCAGTAGGCAGCACATGGTTTGCATGATTTTTCAGTTTGCTGGGCCCAGTTATGTTGTGATTTGCATTATGAAGTTGTTGCTCTCATAGCAGATGGTAGAAGGTCAAACTATTATTGACTCTAGACTTAGTATTCAGAGCAGATGAAGAAGGTTATAAATACTTTGTGCCAGATGAGGTGCTTCTTTATGAAGTGAATAAATTGGTATAAATTGTATCGTGTTGGGAGAATCAATGGGAGATTTTGTGAACTTAGATCTTAGAATAGATGATGTATTTTGCGTTTGTAAAGAATGCTTTTATTAGCTGTTAAACCATGTATTGCCTGTTATAATGTTCGAGTATGAATGAAATGTCTGCAAAACATTTGTGGGGCGTGAACTGTGGTTATCAAAAATGAGCTAGAGCCTGAAATTGCATCACGCCTTGTCCAAGTGTTATTGAGACAGCTCTGAAGAGAAAGTGTCTAACACTCACTTTAAGAGGCCACTGTCACTTCTTAACCTGGGAGACTGTGCTCTAACCCCACGTGTGGTCGGATTCCAGACACCAGAGGCTCTACTCCCTGCTGGACAGGCTTCGTCTCGCCACTGCACCCGGCTCACGTGGCCCTTCTCCTCCGGTCACGTCCCACCCGCTGGACGGGGATGGGCCCCTGGCACTGGAGACCGTGATTCCAGACAAAGTACGTGTCCAGCACGTATGCATGGGGCACGTGGGGCCCACTCTTTTACATCTTTGGCAAATCTGGAGTGTGCGGTGGGGCAGCTCAGGCAACAGGACGTCCTGGCACCTGGCGTGGCCCCCAGGGGCTCCCAGCCTGCCGTTCCTCGCCAGCAGTGGGCCACTGACAGGACGCCTGAGGCCCAGTCCAGGTCATGAGCAGGAGGTGTGGCGTGAGAAAGGGAATGCTGACTTGGGACACTTGTGGCATCGGGGAGAGGGGACAGTAAAGAGAGCAGTGGCCGTAGCCTGCATAGGCGGTCGTGCTCGCCTACTTGGCCCGTCTGCCTCTCAAACCCGCTGACCTGTGTTGACCGCACCATCCCAAGGATCCTGGTACATGGTCACGACCCTTGCTACTCACACCTCAGAGCTGGGGACTGTTGGGGCCTTGGCAGATCCTTGGTACTCTGCTTTCCTGGAGGGAGGTCAGTGTAGACATGAGCTTGGATTTTGAAAACCCATCACCTTGGCACAGAATGGCAGAGCTCAGGCCTCTGCTGCACCGGCCTTGGAGAGAGAGGAGCGCTGCAGACACCCCAATAGAAGATGGGAGCAGTGCCAGGCGAGGGGCGGACAGAGGGTGAGGGCACAGAGCAGAGGGCTGGAGAGCTGAATTAGGACACTTGGGTGCCCACCAGGGGAGGGGGGAGAAGCAGAGCCTGTCCCGGCGGGAACGGCAAGTCGAAGACACAGCCTTTGTAGCAGTTCCTACAGAAAAGGCCTGTGGTTTGGTGAGCAGCCACATGGCCAGCTAGAATCCAGTTTCTTGGAAGCTGCATTCATAGTCCCCGGGAGACCACTTGTCCTTCAGTCTGGGGCCACAGGATGTGAGGGGCAGTGGGCAAAGAAACAACACACGTTCAGTAGAGTTGAAGCCCCTTAAAAGCCATGCCCAATTTCATTGGGTTCTCCATCTTTTTCTTCTTCCCAGGACTGGTACCTACGTCTAGTCAAATCCCAGTGCTGGACTAGGTCAGATTCTGCGCTGCTGGAAGGGGCAGAACTGGTGAATCGGATTCCTCCCAGTGACATGAGTACATTCATGATGAACTCGGTACGGCGGAGAGCAGCGGGATGCTAGCAGGATGCCTGATCTGTTTTATCATCATGTGATCAACTTAGGACACGGGCCACTCACTTTTCTGCCTTAATGGCAGAACCTATAATCCAGACAGGATGGAGCATGGGAGACTGTAGTCTAGATGGGGCAGGACGTGGGAAAACTGTAATCCAGATGGGACGGGATGTTATTTCAGTTATATTAGAATCCAAAAGGAGGTAAATTGTGTCTAATTCAACTTTCCATGCATTTGAAGAGAAGAGGTTCTCTTAGATTGCAGTCTGTTCTCACTGCGTGTCCTCATGGCCATGAGGAAAGGTATTAAAATGGTGTCATGGTAGATGATTTAATGGACCCTCATGGTATTCTGGAAATTGATCTTTAGTGAGACCCCTCCCCTTGTTTTATGTGGTGAGGTCCTCCTGCCCGCATTACTTATAGTGAGGTCCCCATACCCCTGCTTCATACAGTGAGGTCCGCTCCCTGTTACATGTGTTGTACGTAATAGTCCATGATGTGGGTTAGGCCTTCTCCTCCTCGCCCCCAACTAGATGTTGGGGTCCCCGTCCCCACCCTTGATGTTGTGCAGGCATGCATGCTGGGAGGCTCCTGGGCAGGTCCTGTGGGGACTGGACCCTCTGGTCGTACCAGCCTTAGCAGCCTTAGCAGGTTCCTTCCCAGATATCCTGGGACCAGCAGCTGACTAAAGCTCCAGGTGTTTTAATGCTGCCTTGATATGTACCACATGGGAATGAGGAGCAGCAGGGCCTTGGCAGGGGGTGTGGGCAGCAAAGGATGGGCCAGGTGTGGATGAAGGGACTTGGGGCTGAGGCCACACAGCAGTATGCTCCCAAGTACTGATTCTTCATCAGTTTGACAGTGGGAGCTACATTGAGAAAACAGAATAGGCTCAAAATCAGCTTGTTGAAATAATTTTAAGCTCCATTCAGTGAAAGCTGATTTGCTGAATGATAAATTTGCTTAATGATCTATTTATCGAATTTTCCAAATTCAGTAATTGGACTTTTAATAGCTTTAAAGGTTCTGGCTGTAGCAGAAAGGTTCAGTTTTGGTTACTGATGATGACATATACTTTTCTGAATGTTACCTAAATTCAGATAAATATTCTACCTGAAAATTGGCCCAAAAAAATCCTTAAATGGTTTTTAAAAGTTGGTAAAACCCAGTACCTACTGATACACTGTCATGGGAATGCTGCTTTTCACCCACAGTTGTGGCCACTTTGATTTATTTCAGCTGCCTTTGAACATAACTTTCTCAAACTTTGTGAATTTTGGTGTTTCACTGGATTTCTTGGGTGCCATATATTTTTATCAATTAAAAATTACGTATGTTCAATTTTTTATTTCAAACAAATCTGAATGCATAAAAAATTTAAAATCTTTAATACTAAAGTACCCCAAAGAGACCAGAAATACACTTCACGGAGCATATGGTATTTATTTTGGGAAGTAGAATATTCTTTAAAATATATTGTTAATAGTTTACTCATCTGTGCTTTCTCAGAAATGTTTGCATTATCCTTTTTTCTGTTGTGTTTTTCTTGCCTGGTTGAAAAGCGTGTAATTGTTGTTCAACCTTTAACGTCCTGATTCAGGAATTCAACTTAAGCCTGTTGGCCCCATGCCTGGGCCTGGGCATGCGCGAAATCTCCGGAGGCCAGAGGAGTCCCCTTTTTGAAGCAGCTCGCCTGGCCACTCTGGACCGTGTGAGCGGCCTGGTTCAGCAGCTCCCTGCCACCCACCACGTTTTCCAGCCGTTCTTGCCTGTGGAGCCCACTGCCTACTGGAACAAGTTGAATGATCTATTTGGTAGTTAAAATTAAAACTTCTTTTATTTTTTAAAAATGCTGTAGAGCCAATATCATGCTTTGGACTGAGTAAAGATACAGTAAATGCTGTTGACCTAATAAACTGAAAGCATGTGCAGAGGTGACCGAGAGATGGTGCCAGGGACCCTAGCTCTGGATGTCTTTGGCATGTTTGCCCCTTTGCTGTTCCTCGGCCTCGCCCTGGAGGAACACTAGGGTAGACCTCAGAGGAAGGCATGTCCCGAGTCATGTGCACAGTTGGGTGTGTGTGCAAATGTGCTTCTGAGCTGAAGGTACCTTTAGATTCTCAGAGAATGGGCTGACTGCCTTTCATAGGCCACGAACCCAGGGTAGAGTTGCATTCACCCACAGTCTTGTGTTTCAGGGGATGCTGTGTTGTATCGGTCCTTGACCACTCTGGCCCGGGCCCTGGCCCAGTACCTGCTTGTGTTCTCCAAGCTGCCCAGCCATTTGCACCTCCCTCCTGAGAAGGAGAGGGACACTGTGAAATTTGTGGTCATGACTCTCGAGGTAAGAGGCAGCTTGGGAAGCCAGTGTTTCTGTGCGGAGGGACTATCACTGGAGAAATAGGAAACCCAGGAGCTGTGCAGTTGGGCCTCCTCCTGTCTTCACCAGGACAATAACTATGGGTGGTCAAGCACCACATCCATCCCCTACTTTCCTGAGCACATTCACACCCCTGACTGTGCGGGTCCTCACAGGTGCCTTGTGACATTGGCCACATAGCACTTCCTGTCCCTACTTTCCAGCTGGCCTAGGACCTGGGCTCCCACCACGGTGTCTCCCCTGCGCGCATCTGGGCTGAGGGCACGGGTCTTAGAGGAGGGTCTGGCAGGGAGGAGGCGGGGCAGGGGAGAAGCAAGGATGATTGGAGAGATGAGCAGAAACCTTTGAGGGATCTCTCAAACAGTGGAGGGAGTCCTGTGCTTATGTGTGGATCTCTTCCCTTGACTCTTAAGATGCCTTTGATTTCAGGACAGACATCCATTAAATATGTTTTCTCTAAGGAAAAGGAAGCACTGCGAATGTAGAGTATATCCTAATTTTAGATAATTAAAGAAAATAATCTGCGAAAATTATTAGGCTTTAAATAGAGTAAAAACCTGGATGTTTCAGCCATGGGAAATTAAACACTCTGTGTTGACACTTATAATCACCCCCAACATGTGTACACATTGTGGGTGCATCGCTTTTCCATACAACTTCTGGCAAATAGTCTAGCCTACATCCTTGCAGCCAGAGCCCGAGCTGTGTTTGTCAGCCTGAGCAGGACACGGCTGACTCAGCATCAGCTCCACCTGCCAGCAGGAAGAGAGGTAGGTGTCAGGAGGGCACGCGACGAACAGGCGCCTGCTGGAGCCGGCCCAAGTCAGATGGCTGCTGACACCTGTCCTGCAGGTCTTCGTGCAGTGTGCAGGCTGGCAGGCTCACAGACGGTTCCCGTACGGAGTCCCGTGCCTGCTTTGTGCGGGGCGGGATGGGCTCTGTTATTCCCATTTCACAGACGAGGAAGGCAGGGCTTGGAGACATTTGTCTGGCTTGTCCGGGTTTCACCCACTAAGAAGTAGCCCATTGACATCTGAACCCAAGCCTGGCCGTCTCCAGGCCCCATGCTCTCAGATTCAGTCTCTGACTATGACCGAGGCAGGTTCTGCCTGCACCCTGGGAGGCCCGAGGAGGAGCCTGACCTGGAGGCCGTGTGGCCAGGGAAGGATTTCTAGAGGAGCCCACGGTGCTGCAGGAAGGAGAAGCAGTGAGATCAGGGTGGCCGTTCTGGCAGAGAAGTGAGCCCAGGCACTCTTGGGAGTGGGTGGTCAGGCTGGAATGTAAGGGAGTGGGTGACAGGGTCCCATCCCTCGAATCATAGTCTGGACCTGCCGGCTTCTCGCTCTTGGGACAGTTCCCAGAGAGCTGGGGGTGGTTTGCTTCCCCGGCAGCTCAGAGACAGGAAGGAAGCGGGCCTAAGCCTCCTGTCACATCGACCCTCCCCTCTAGGCCCTGGCGTGGCATTTGATCCATGAGCAGATCCCACTGAGTCTGGACCTACAGGCCGGCCTGGACTGCTGTTGCCTGGCCCTGCAGCTGCCCAGCCTCTGGAGCGTGCTATCCTCCCCAGAGATGGTCACCCATGCCTGCTCTCTCATTCACTGTGTCCGCTTCGTCCTGGAAGCCGGTGAGTCTGTGACCACGACACATTTCTGTCCTCTATCACTGGGACCGGCAGTCAACTCTGTTTACCAGGTGCCGAGCGAGGAACCGGGGGTGACTCGGTGGATAAAATATGGGCCTTGTGTTCATCTCCAGTGTCTTGGATTCGGCACTAGAATTGGATTTGAATTTGCTTTTGTAGTCATTTTGTTTAGATTTTGGAGTTCCAGCTTTCATAAAAAATACTCCTAATTTTATGTCCCTTTGATCTCTGGTCCTACTTGACTGTTTCATGCTTTTAGTCCCAAATGACCATAAGATTTAATAAGATTACATTAAAAAGATTGTTTTCTGTTATAGTCAAAATGCTTGTTTCTATAATGCATTGTAATATTAATATATTATAAAATAAAAGTGACTTATTCTTTTCAAGGGACAGTGTCCTTAACAAGGGTCATTAGCCAAAATTTCTCAAAAATTGGACATTATAGTTTACATGTTAGAGGGTGTTTTGAAGTTTGATTGTTTAAATTGTTTTCATCTGTGCATTTGTAGTCAGCTTGAAAACGAAGATCTAGGGAGTAATTTTTCAAAGCGAGACTTCTTGGGGATTGCAGTGATGCTTTTAGCAGTAATGAATCACGAGCTGTCTGATAAAAACCTTCAGGGCAAGACGTGGCAAACAGTAGGCAGTGGACAGACGTGGAAATATCAGCAAAAAACTCAAGTACCGTGCATTTCAGACTAGCCCAGAGACTGATGCCTAAGTCTGGTACTGTCTAAAACTGACTATAGGAAATCCTTACCTCATTTGACTTAGTCTTTCACCTTGAAATGTTTGCATAAATGTGAAAATTTGAATAAAAAGGAATAGTAAAAGTGTTTGGAAATTGTTTGTCTGTTGTGATTTTTAGTTGTGGTGCAGCCTGGGGATCAGCTTCTTAGTCCAGAAAGAAGGATGAACACCACAAAGGCTTCCAGAGAGGATGAAGTAGATTCAAACACACAAAGTAAGTCTCAAGATCCGTTCTTTTTTTTTTTTTTTTAAGATTTTATTTATTTATTTGAGAGAGAGCGAGAGAGCACATAAGCGGGCAGGAGGAGTGGAAGAGGGAGAAGCAGGCTCTCTGCTGAGCAGGGAGCCCGATGTGAGGCTCGATTCCAGAACCCTGAGATCGTGACCTCAGCTGAAGGCAGACGCCCCAAGATCCGTTCTTTCTTACCCGGTTTTTCTGAGGGCTTGAAATTCATTCATAAAAGAGACTTTTAAAAGGGTCAGTGTGGACACTTGAAAGCTTACTTAATTTAGCTACATTCTGTTGCTTATCTCCAGATTTGAGAGCAATTTGAGTACGTCACCTCACGTGTGCTGTCTCTCCTGCGAGCACGCTGGGTCTCTTCATCTGGCTTTCTTTGGCCCACCAAACTCGGCTGGGGCGTCACACTCCCGGGAGCCCTCCCGACGCCCCTCTTGTCACAGCTGCTCCTCCACCCTAGTGCTTCCTGCTCTAGGCCTCTCACCTAGACTCAGCCCCCTGAGCTCCCGGGGCAGGACTGCGCTCGCACTCTGTGTGCTTGCTGTCGTAAGTGCTCATGGACGAACGTTTATCCAGTGATGAGCGACTGCGTTGAAAATACTGAGGGACTTGAAGTTAGCATACATACCCACATGAATGTTAGGTAACCTGAGTCATCTGTTTTGGTGGATTTTTAAATGGAAGTTACTACTCTTCCTGCAGAAAAAACATCCACACCCCATCCACTTAAGCCTTGTTTAGACTTAGACGTGCACCATGGCTGTGCATGTTCTCTCCTGATTCAGGTCTTTCGCTGGCAGTGTGGAGAGGCAGGTCGGGGAAAAAGCTCTTGGCTGAGTGATTGCTTGTCCCTGGGGGCCTCCAGGCGTCTTCACCCAGAGGGTGTGGCTGGAGTACCCGCCTGCAGCCCGTCCACAGAGAGGGGAAGCACATGCCCCCTGGCGGTTCTTGGCTGCCTCTTTCATGGAACGCTCTACCTCGGAATCCCGAGTCTTAGCCGTGCTCTGGTGGCTTAGGAAACGTGCCTCTTTCTGAGCAAGTACATACGTGCTTTGTCCTTTTGCCGGCATGTGTACCAGCCAGCCAGGTGAGGATGGCCTTTTCCTGTCATCCGTAGTCAGCATGGTGATTTTTCTTCCAGTCGCCTGTTTAAGGTCCTGTAATGGTATAACCCTGTCCAGGAACAGCGTATTGCACAACACAGCCAAGCTCCTCTCCAGGTGCTTTCCTCGAGGCTCCCTGGTTCTGTCAGCCCTTAGTTTGTGGTTTCATGACTTCTCGTTGTTATGTGAGGGCTATGCAAACACTTACCCCCATGCTTGGCCACGTTCTAGCCGGGGCCTCTGCAGTGGAGATATGGGTGGCGCTGACCTCGAGTTGGTATGAGGATTACATAAATCAGAGCACCCAGAGCAAGTGCCAGTCTTGTTATAAGTGCTCAGTAAACATTCCCGTAGTTTGATTCATAATACGAATTTCCATTCTTCTGAAAATAATCCTGGCATTTCAAGGGGTCGCGTCAGAGCAGACAGGCCCACAGGCTGGAGCGTATGTAGTTTATGTTGATTGTACTTACTCCTCGTGGCCCAGTATAGGCCAGTTAATTTCTTCCTGGCCAGAGGAAGAAGATTGCTCTTTTTATCACCTGGATAGGATAATACCCCTTACAGATTGCCCATTAAGGGCGCCTGGCTGGCTCAGTCAGTACAGCATGTGACTTTTAGAGTCTTGGGGTCAGAAGTTTGAGCCCTGGGCACAAAGTTTACTTAAAAGGACAGTATTTTTTTTTTTTAAGATTTTATTTATTTATTTGAGAGAGAGAATGAGATAGAGAGAGCATGAGAGGGGGGAGGGTCAGAGGGAGAAGCAGACTCC